GTGGCTTGGCTTTATGAGTCGGAGGGGTGGAAGGCGGTGCAGATGAAGGAGCCATTTCCGGTGGATACATATGAACAGTGTTGGTGGGTGAATGATAATAACGAAAGGTTCCAGTGATTGGGTCAAGAAACTTAGATGGAAAAAAAAAGAAAAAAAAAAAAAAAAAACGGTCAAAACCTGAAAATGACCATTATATAAACAAATCACTCCAGTGTCTTCTATTGCTAAATTTACTTCTAAATTAAAATAATTGAAACAGAATGTTGATAATTACACTTCTGTAATTAAATCTCCAAAGTAATTAAGTGTTTTTTTCTTTTTCATTTTAGTTTTATTCAGCACTATCACAGAACACACTACATGCTACGTAACACACTGTTAAAACCTTTCAGCAGGGGTAGATTACCATAACTGAATTTTTTTTCATCAGTCAGAAAACTTCCTTAATCAATGGTCTCCAAACTCTTTGACACATACACAGTGACAATTAACTCCAAAGATGTGCCTCTTTCCATCAAACACCGCTGATATCTAAAATGGGCAAACCTCTTTTCCCTGCCCCCATTCATGAACTTGTGCATGTACACAGTGGCCAGTCCCAGAATGACCAAGCCACGCCCACGGTGGCAACCCCAGGAAGAACCTCGAAACCACGTCTCGGCACCCAAATCCAGCCTCCAAGCCCCTTCAATGTTTTAAATACAGTTTCTAAATGGCAAAGGCCAGTGCCCCAGGTTCAGTACTGAAAAAAATCTAACCTGCTATGATTAGGTAAAAGAGTTATGTCCTCTATAATGAAGAAACAGTTAACTCTGCACTGGAGAAGATGCAGAATAAACAAACTAAAAGGTAATTTTTTAGGACTATGGGACTATGTCATTTATTTCAATACTAATTCGGACTTTTACCTTGGCCCAGCCTGAAGGCAGTCCTGGTACGATCCTCCCCATTTCTTCACTTCGAGCTCTTGTCAAAGGCTCTCGCTGAGCCTAGTTTAAAAACAACAAAGATCTGATTTTTCAATTAAATTTTGCCATACACAAAGTTAAGCTGCCTGTACCAAAGAATCAAAACACCTTGCCCCAGCTGCCCTTCATATTTAAAAAACAAATCTAAGGATGAAGAAAGCTTTCAGTTTTTCTAAAACTCCAAATTTTACTACACCAAAGGGAAAAGGAGTGTGTGTACATGCCTGTCATGATGGTGAGTGATGGGCTGAAGGTTGATGGCCTTCCACAGTGGTCCATGGGGAGAAGGAAGATGGATCCAAGAAAACAAGAAAAGCTACAGAATTCCTATCATGGCCTATGCTAAATCTATTACCCAAAGTCACCTTGCTCTAAGATAGCTTCTGTATTTATTCATTCCATAAAATACTGATAAAGTATTATATAAGTAAATGCAGGCCAATGTATTGAGAGACCAAGTTCAACATAACAGGGTAATAATAGGATATTTTTGCTCCTTTACTTAAAAAAAAAAAAAATCACTGTTATAATAGGAAAAAAGCCTGAAAATAAGCCACTCAATTTCTATCTTTATATTCTTCGTGTCTTAAAATACATACATTCTGTTGAACGCAAAAGTTGAAGTAGAATCCTGCTAGAAAAAAATTGTGTCAAAATAAAGGCAAATGAGATAACTGAGTATCACAAGGAAAAAGATGAATTTAGTTTTATCTTACACTATACATAAGTTAACTTGAAACGTACCCTAGATCTAACTATAAAAGCTGAAACTAGGGATTAGCAGTTGGCGTAATGGCTATGTCACTGGACTCCCATGTAGTCTACCGCGATTCAAGTCCCAGACCTGGTGGCTTAAACTCACGCTGGGCGCTTGTGCGTGCATGCCCAAGATCCAGAGAGGAGAATGGAGGAGAAGGGATTGCAGCATGGCCATCCCCCCAGGGGGTGATTTCTCGCTTTCTGTCTCTCTGTCTCTGTCTTTCTGGCAAGCACACGTGTCCTATAGCAAAAACCTCCTCCCTCCAAAAAAATGTGATGAAATAAACTAAAAATTTACCATTTTTAAGTATGCTGGTTAATGGTATTAAGTATATTTACACAGTTTTGCAATCAATCTCAATAATTTTCTTTTTTTGAGAAAGAGTTTTTGCTATAAGGGCATGTGTGCTTGCCAGAAAGAAAGAGAGAGACAGAAAGTGAGAAATCACTCCCCACAGGAGATTGCTATGGCACAATCTCTTCTCCATTCTCCTCTCAGGATTTTGGGGATGCACGCACATCCACTTGGTATGAGTTTGAAGCCATCAGGTCTGGGATTTGAATTGTAGTCAGCCATGTGGAAGTTCAGCAATGTAAACATTACACCATCTGCTGGTCCCTAGAATTCTTTTAATCTTGCAATTCTGAAACTTTACCTATTAAAAAATAATGTCCCATTTCTCCCTCTCTTTAGCCCCTAGCAACTACTACTCTACTTTCTATCTTAATGACCTTGACTATGTTGAGTATCTCCTATGAGTGGAATCATATAGTATTTATCTTTCTAAAACTGGTTTATTTCCTTATATTGTCCTCAATATTTATCCATGTTGTGGCATATGTTAGACTGTCCTTCCTTTTTGAGGCTGAATAATACTCCAGTTTTTGTACATATCACATTTGTTTATCCATTCACCTGCTGATGGACACTTGGGTTACTCCATCTTTTGGCCACTGTGAATAATACTGCTATGAACATGGTGTATACATATATTTTTGAGCCCCTGCTTTAAATTCTTTTGGTTATTTTCCATCCAGAAGTATAACTGCTGGATATATAGTAAGCCTTAAGTAATTTTGTTTTTTTAGAAGTTTGCCAGAAGGCTTGTGGGCTTGCCATAGAGAGCAGGACAGAGAGAGCAATAGAGGGACAAAGCACTCCACAATGGAGGGCATGGCCACATCTCAAGCCTTTTTCCCTTTTCCCAACCCATCTAGACTTGAGGCATGCACACACACACACAAGCTTGGCATGTTTTTCAAGCTGCTGAGTTTGGGACTCAAACTATGCCACTGGCCATGTGGAATTCAGTTTCTTTAACCACTAGACCATGCAGCCAGCCCAAGTACTTTTTAATTTAATAAAATGAAAAGAACATAGTGATAAACTTTAAATTAGAAGGCAAACTCCATTTACTTTAGCATATAAATAGATAAACTATGTAAAAAACAAAAACATCTATCAAAGATGGTACAGATCCCCTCAGAAAGTACATTTCAAGATGGAAGGTTACCATGTGGTAAAGACAAGTCATGTGGTTGTAACTCATAGGTTGTTTTTCCCAGTCCTCCCGCCCCCCCCCCCCCCCACCAATCAACCAATTAACTTCTTTATCTCG